TTGAGAGAAATAGGCCTTTTGTGTACATAGAAAAAGTCTTAGATCTTTGAGTTCAGCTCATGAAAAATGGGGGCAAAAACAAAAGTGTTGCGTTTATAATTTTGTTCAGTGTAATTACACATGTGTAATGACAAATATACAATTTAGTACATTTAACATTTAACATGATATATATATATATATATATATATATACAGTATATATATACACACACATATATATATATATATATATATATATAACTTTAAAATGTAATATCAAATACTATAGTTATAATTATAATCAATAATTACATGTGCTTTAGTATGCTAGTCAACACATCAAAATAAGTGTATTTTAAAGCATGACAACAGATTATTAAAACATAATGATTTTAAATGTACTAAGTGTGTTCAGAAACAGTCATGAAAGTGTCTCAAGTAGAGCACTAGTGCACATTCAGTAGAATAAAGCACACTTCTTTTTCACAAGGGTGTGTTTTTGCATGTATGCATATGGTAGTTTAATAATGTGGAGAAACCTATGTAGTCAGGTTTTAATCATATTAATCTTTCAGTCAATAACTCATGTCATTTGTTCTAAAACTCTTTGATTTGACCTGTTCACTGGGGAAATCAGATTCTCTATATCAAAAGATCTAGTTAGATAGTGTTATGGTTCACTTTATGCCTGACATCCCTGATTTGAAGACTGTGCATCTTCAATGCTCAAGTGTACAGGTCTAATTCTGGCAACTAACAGTGCCGCAAGCATCCAGTCTGTGGTGTTCGCCATTATTTAAACTGCTTGCTGCGCTCACAGATTAAAGCAGACAGACCATGCTGTGATCTCAGTTCTCAGTACTTTGTCTGCATAATACACAAACTGCAACAGAACTACAATAATAACAACAGAGGTATTTGTCTGAGATCAATGGCTGTAAGTGTTTTCCAGATGAGGCAGTAGAGTGTCTGTTCCTGACATCTGTTTATGTTTGCTGTAGCCTCCTGGTATCTCTGGACAGTGTATGTTTTCTCTTCCATCCCTTTTATATGTCTTTTTTCTGTTTTGCTACAGTAATTCATACACCTCAACAACATATGGCCTTGTCAGACAGAACTCTGCTTTCCGAAGGCCATGCAGACTTGTGAAAAAGTAGTAAAACATACTTTTAAAAGAGTACTTAAATAATGTATTTTAAAAGAATATACTTAAGTGTAAACTTTATGCAATGTTTTTGGACATTTAACTGTTAAAATTAAATGAAAATTATTATAGAAAATGTATATTAAATGCAATCAGCTGAACTTTTTAGAGTTTTAGATTTTTGACCCACTTAAGTAGGACTTAAGTACATCTTTATATGTAATTTCATAATTACTTATTTTGTCTTAATACACTGACTTAATGTACTTCTTTAAAGCAACACAAAATTATTCAAACAATGATTTAAATGTACTTAACAAGTAATACCTTTAATTTGCCAGTATTACAAAGTGCACTTTTTGTGTACTTAAGCATGTTAAGAAATACAGTCATGAAAATGTCTCTCTTTATGTCACTTAAGTGGCCTTTTATTTCATTAACCAGGTGTATGCAGGTTTTATCGAGGTAAATTTAAGACTTTTTAAAAACATTTTTAAGATCAAGAAAAAAAAAAGGAATAAATTGAAGGAAAAAAAGTGATGATTTTAAAATAAATACACGTTTACTTGAGAAGCAAAATTACATAAGATTAAAAAGTCTTGTTTATGATTAAATTGATCAAAATAAAGTGATTTTATAAACAAGAACTAAAATTAAACCTGCAAATGGGCTCAGAAAAAATCAACTTCAGTTTTCAAATCCCTACTGACAGATTTTTATTCTTGTTTTAAGCATGAACTCATTTAATTTTGTTCAATTTTTCAAGACTTTTTAACATTTGCATTTGCAAGTAAATATACCTTGAGTTTAAGGATGTTTAGATTTTTAGACATTTAGTGCTTTTAATGCTACAAATGCACATTCAATACAATGAAGCAGACTTCATTTTCACAAGGGGAGTTTAGAGAATATACTCCATGCATCCATAATAGCCTAGAGATATGCACACACACAAATAAATAAATGTGTAAATGTTGTATATCTTTCAAGCAGTGGCCTTTGGGGAAAACAAATATTTGCTCTCACTCTCAGTAGTTTGTATAAATGACCAGGAAAACACTCAATAAATAGCACACCATCAAATATTAAATATAAATTTGAGATTTAACATTTTCTGAAATGCAAACACCATAAAACGTTTGTTGCCCACCTGCTCTGGGAGTGTCAATTGTTTGATTTTCCACGCCATACTGCAGGATCCTGCGTCTGGGAAAGTCTGTTTCTGGCCATGAAGACTCGATCTCTGTAATGACATGATAAATTAATTTATCTCTACACCTTTCACAACCAAATGTGTACAAAAGTTTACTTTTGTATCTGCAAACTGTCACTGCAACAGTCAACAATGTTAATGAAAACATTTACGAATCCATCAGGTAAACCAAAAAAGGTATTTGTGAGCAAGTATGCTTGAGTAAAAACATTCGGCACCAGAAGGCACTTCAAGCTCCACTACGTAAGCGTGCGTCCTGACGCACATACTGTACAACCAGAACCATTTTGTTTAGTTTTCCCTTGGCAGCGAGAAAACACAACAGTGTGGCAAAGCTATGCAGCATCCTGTTCTGTTGTTCAGGGCAGCAGGGTTATACAGTATATATAATACTGTGAGGATACAGTACGTCAAAGACTACACATATAAGCATATACAAGTTGCTTTTTAAACTGAATAATTTATCTTCCATAAATTAGATAAATTATTCAGTTCTGTATTTCATGATAGATATGACAACATCTGCCTCAGGCAAAATTTAACGATTGAAATCTGAATTTAGTTGTTTTGTGAACTATGTATATGTTTGGATAGTCTACATAAAATTTAAAAAAATACAAATATTTGAAATCATAATTGCATTGCATTTTGCTGTTTTTCAAATCCCCAAAAGTTCACTTAAAAAATTGCTCTTGCAAAGTTATTGAGCTGTTTGGCCTCTTTAAAGGAATAGTTCACCCAAAATGAAAATTTGCTGAAAATGTACTCACCCTGTAGATGAGTTTCTTTCTTTATGGGAACAGATTTGGAGAAATGTAGCATTCCATCACTTGCTCACCAATGGATGCTCTGCAGTGAATGGGTGCCGTCAGAATGAGAGTCCAAACAGCTGATAAAAACATCACTCCACATGACACCACTCCAGTCCATCAATTAATGTCTTGTGAAGCCAAAAGCTGCATGTTTGTATAAAACCAATTCCAACATTATGACATTTCTAACCTTGGCTTCTGGCTAAAATACGAGTCCTCTATCCATAATAATGCTTTCTCCAGTGAAAATGTCATCTCGTGTGAATCAGGAGAGAAATATGCATGGACCAAGCACAGTTTACAAGCCAAAACAGTTTTAAACAAATATGTGGGTGGATGTGATAGGACAACAGGGGATGAACTTTCTTACTGGAGGAAGCATTATTATGGATTATGAATTTGATCAGAAGTGGCAGTTTAAAGTTAAAAGATGGATTTGTTTCTTACAAACAACCAGCTTTTCTATTCATAAGATGTTAATTGATGGACTGGAGTGATGTGGATTATTTGTGGATTATTGTGATGCTTTTATCAGCTGTTTGGACTCTCATTCTGACGGCACCCATTCACTGCAGAGCATCCATTGCTGAGCAAGTGATTCAATGCTACATTTCTCCAAATCTGATGAAGAAACAAACTCATCTACAGGGTGAGACATTTTCAGCTAATTTTCATTTTTGCGTGAACTATTCCTTTAACTACTATAAATTATGAGCAACTTGTGGCTTGTCAAAATACAGCTTCAAAATATCTTGCAATTTAAACTGAACTTAAAGATCAAGAACACAACAAACATGGATTCACATGTGATTTCTATGTTGAGTCTTTTAGAAAGACCACTGGAACATTGTTCTCACCAACCGGTTTAAAAACAGTTTCTTATCAGACTGTCTCTCTTGCTCTCTTTATAGGGCATATTTTTTCAACATTCATTTTGTGACACTATATATGGGTAAAATCAGCTCCTCTGCTGCAGTACCGTCCTCTCTGTCATCACAAAACATAAAATTAAACAACTGATGCCACACACGAAGATCAGTGTCAGCACTGCAAGCTGGAACAGTTTGTTGTCCTGGGTCGCTCTGTTGTCAGTAGGTATAAACCTGTGGCTGTTCTTTATTCAAGAAATGTCCAAATAATCCGATTATACAAGTATACTTAAGTAGAATAACACTGTTTTTTTCCTTGCACAAACTGTAGATTGAAAGTGACCATCTGTCTATATATCATGTGAAAAAGGGCTTGATGCGCACTTGAAGGTTACTTAAAATCTTTAAAAAAAAGTAAATAAAACTGTACTTGCTGATAATATAATATTTATAAAATAAAATACCACTTAAGTGACATAAAGAGAGACACTTTGATGTTTCTTAACACATTTAAGTACACTTTTAAAAAGTGCACTTTGCAATAATGTCCAAAATTAAAAATGTTTACTTTAAAGTACATTTAAATCATTATGTTTTAATAATCTTGTCATGTTTTAAAGAAGTACACTTATTTTGATGTGTTGACTAACCTACTAAATGACATATTAAGTACTTGATTTTAATTGTAGTATTTTAAAGTTAATATATTTTAAATGTGCTAAATTGCAACTTCATCATTACAAATATATTTAAATACATTTCATTTCACTAGAAATTACATTAAAGTATATTTATTTATTTTTTACCATAAAAAGACATCAAGATACATAATTATGAAATTACATATAAAATGTACTTAAGTTCTACTTAAGTGAGTCAAAAAGCACTTGAGTGCTAAAGTTCAGCTAACTGCATTTAATTTCAATTTTAACTCTTAATAATTTTTATTGCATTTAACATGCAACGTGTCAAAAAACATTACATACATACATACAGCTGACATGTGTTACTGTACGTCATTGATCATTCTGGTTTAAATAAGTGAATTCTACTGTAGCGCTGACGTACAAGTGTGTTGCATGATTTTTTCCCAAAACAAAAAAAAAGCCGATTTCATTGGTCAACTAAATAATGCAGTCACCTGTCAAGAAAAGATCATACTCATCAATTTAAAGTTCACACAACTGGTTTGAATCATGCAAGTAAGTCAAATATTAGCAGGTTGACCAGGAAAAAAATAAAATGTTAAAATTATTTTTGTAAAATTGCTTGCTTGCCGTTGGTTCTTCCAGTTCTAATGTTAACATTATGTTTGCAAACTCATCTGCCGCAAATAATATGTTTGCAATCCAATATTCATTAGTATTCAAACAGTATCAAAGAAGCTCAAGTTCATATAAAGAGCTCATTTACTTTTGAGTGTTTCTAGAGATATGTACTTGATAAAGAGGTTCTCAAAACCACAAAAGTACTGATCTGCCATTAAAGAAATGCTTGGCTGTAAAGGCAAGGGTTGATATGATATATATAATGTTCTATACATTTTTAAATATGCTTACTTTTAATTAGGTCATTTAAAGGGATCATCAGAAGCACTCTAAAGCAAGTATTGGTTTTGATTATACCAATCAATGAATGAAAAGTGGGTCAATTTTAATTTCACGTCGACTTGGAAATCTGTAAGTTAAATATACACAGCACCAATTATTATTAGCCTTTTGTTTACACAAAGGAATGAACAAGATGTTTGAGAAATTACATTGAAAAGATGTGTACTTACATGAGAAGGCCAAATTATTTTTCTTTAAAAAACATTTTTTTGTTTTAATTGGACATGGGAGTAGGTCACTCCATAATGTGCACCAGCCGACTACTAATTAATATAACAATAATAGTGCTACAGGAAGCATATAATTATTGCTTTCATCCAATTGATAGGCGAATCTCTAGGATCAGGGTTTTATGGACATTTTTGAACCCATAATAACGTGATTTAGGTAGGATAATTTATATTGGTCTCATAAACTCATAAACACTATCACATCACCCTCTCTTTCTGCTTTCTACTGCAAAATCAGGAGTATAGCGTTCCTGTTACTCAACTGGTAGAGCATGACACTAGCAATGGTAAAGTCATGGGTGTTTGCATTGTAAAAGAACATCTTTACTACGTTCTATTCAAAGTAGCATTCAACATGATGCATAATACAGCACCAATAACATAGTCCAAGTTAATTGGTATGTATAAAGCATGGGAAAACACCTTTCAGTGGTGCTGTGACGCAGGTGTGAAGGGGGTTAACTAGCAGCAGAAGAAAAAAAAACTATTTAAAAATAGTAATTGCTGCCATTTTGACTAAACAATTAGGCTATATGTATAAAAATACCAGCTATTTAAAATCATTTTATTTCATTTATGTTTATACATCTGTATGCTCCTCGGGCGCACTAATGCGGAGACGCACAATTCAGATTCCAAAAAACAAAACAAAACTGAAAATGCATGACACGAACAGAAGGATGGCCAAGGGATGCTGGTGTAACACTAATGCATGTTTTGTCTGTGATCGTCCTAACCTGTCAGCTGCAGCACCTGTGCGAGCCACACGACCGCGAGAAGCCCGACTCCGCAGCAGTAGAAGCGCCGGATCGGTCGCCGTCTGGCGCTCCGTATCACCGACTTCATCCCGCTCCGTCTGTTCCGCACCTCTGAATCAGAACATGACCGCCGCAGATTCCTCCGGTTATAAGGCGGGGCTGATAACTACCTTCTTACTAAACTAAACTTTTGGGTTGCCTTGCTTTTCTTCATCACAGTCAACCCTGCGCTGTTGCGAACTATTTATACGCATCGTTCAGCTAAGCGCGCGCGGACCTGTAGTGTAGGCGCTCAGGTATCATCTGCTTCAAAGCGCGCAAATGCGCTCGCATGCCATTCATTGGTCGTTGTAAGTGGTACCCTCTTTCGCTCTCTCTCCCTCTCTTTCTGTCTCTCTCTCTCACACACACAAATCACTTGAGGGCGGCTCTTGCCAGTAGTCGTGCTGTAATCGTGGACGACCAATAAGAACACTCTGGGAGGCGAGAGACTCAAATCTCTGAGACTGATCAACTGGAACGGAGCGGTAGCTTCTTCCAACCTCCCCCACCCCCCCTTTTTTTCCATGTTTAACATTTTTGATCACTGTAAATGACCTTATTTCTGTTAATGTTATCTCGTAGTTTCATACACTCTAAAAAAAAACAAGGTTCTTCAGCGGTTCTTTGGAGTAGTTAAGGTGCTATACAGCACCACTACCGTAAAACCTGTAAGCCCCTGTATAGTTCTTTAAAGGTTCTTTAACTCTCTCTTAGTCTCTTAGTTTAGTTGGGGAAAGGGCTAAAACAACATAAAAATATAGTCTATTTCTTGAAGATATAATTTTTTTTTGCCCCCAAGGCCCCCATAAGGAAATATTCCAGGGCCCCCACATGAGACCTTTGACCTCAGAAAAAAAGGACCTCTCCACAAACAGCAACACCAACTTCTAACAATTTACTAACATCACTAATGTGATGTAACATCACTAACATCACATGATACTAACATCAGCAACATCACAAATTACTAACCAGGTAGACTTTAGATACTTTATTTCTGGAGTATCTAAAACAGAAGTTCTTTGTTGAGAATTAAGGTTTAGATGTTTTCTTTTCTTTTTTTTCTTCAACTTACCGTTTTGGTGAATAGTGTTTGCTTTAGTTGCCTCTTGACCCTTGACTTTCATTTTAAATTAAAATAAGTTTATCTTTGGCTGTTACAATTATGTTTATAAAGCACATCTGTGATGGCAAGGAACTTATGGTAAAATCATTGCATGTGTCTGAATCTCTGGTTGCATTTTATCAAAATCTGTAATTTGTTTATGAGTTTTATATTATTGCAGTTCTATGATACAACATGACAATGTGAGAAAATTGTATAAACCACTTTTAGAATTATGGGATACGAAAAGGTTTCAGTTCTGTCACTCATAGACATGAAAAATCAGCATGTGAATTTCAGCAATGGTGACAAAATATTCTGATAATTTTGATATGATTTTTGAACATCACAAAACAGGGCAGTAAAAAGTCACAACAAAAATAAAAGTAAATAGTAAGAATAAAAGAAAATACTAAGATAACGCAGCTGCATAATTTATTCAAGTCACAATGCATGCTGGGAGCCATGGATGAGTTATGATTGGTGCACCATTGTTGAGATAAAGTGCTATATGGCACCTCTTATGGTTCTACATGGCACCATTTGACTAAGTGCTATATAGCACCTGTAAAAATAGGTGCTAAATAGCACTAAAAGTGGTTCCCCTATGATTGCAAGCCAAATAACTGCTTTTAGTGCTATATAGCACCTTTTTTTTAGAGTGTACTGATGACTTTTATATTATTCTGAATTGAAATTACAAGTATGAGGACACTTAAGTGACTTAAAGAGAGACACTTTCATGACTGTTTGTTAACACACTTAAGTCCAATTTTATAAAGTGACCTTTGTAATCATACTTTAAAGGTTTAAATAATATTTTGTTGTGCTTTAAAGAAAAACACTTATTTTGATGTGTTTACTAACATACTAAAGCATATGTATTTGATTATAATTTTAATGGTGGTGTCTTTTTTATATTCCATTTAAAGTAAATATATTTTAAATTACTAAACTGCAAGGTCAACATTACAAATGAGTATTTGCAAATATATTTAAATACATGGCATACAAGTAAGTTTAAACATTACTTACAAGCCAAAACCTTACACTCTAAAAAATGCTGGGTTAAATACAACCCAGTGCTGGGTAAAATAGGGACAAACCCAGCAATTGGGCTGTTTTGACCCAGCGGTTGGGTTACATGTTTAACCCAACTTTCTGGGTAGTAACCCAACTGTTGGGTCAAAACAGCCCAATTGCTGGGTTTGTCCCTATTTTACCCAGCATTTTTTAGTCTACATTCAGTTCAGACTTAAGTATAGACTTTGAAATACACTATATTAATCTTTTAAAGTATATTATAAAAGTAGTGTACTTCTTTTTCATAAGAGTGTCATACACTCTAAAAAATGCTGGGTTAAATACAACCCAGTGCTGGGTAAAATAGGGACAAACCCAGCAATTGGGTTGTTTTGACCCAGCGGTTGGGTTACTACCCAGAAGGTTGGGCTAAACATTTAACCCAACCGCTGGGTCAAAACAGCCCAATTGCTGGGTTTGTCCCTATTTTACCCAGCATTTTTTAGTCTACATTCAGTTCAGACTTAAGTATAGACTTTGAAATACACTATATTAATCTTTTAAAGTATATTATAAAAGTAGTGTACTTCTTTTTCATAAGAGTGTCATACACTCTAAAAAATGCTGGGTTAAATACAACCCAGTGCTGGGTAAAATAGGGACAAACCCAGCAATTGGGTTGTTTTGACCCAGCGGTTGGGTTACTACCCAGAAGGATGGGTTCA